CTAGTGGTCTTTGGAGTCTTGTTGTCAGCTTCAATATGTTCTTGATGTATGGCAGTGTGGCCAGTATGTTAGGTCACACTGCCCTTCATCAAGAACATATTGAAGCTGACAACAAGACTCCAAAGACCACTAGGAATCATGGTGACCCACAAGCCCACAGTCACTCTAAGACAAATACTCAGAAGGATTAAAGATCCCATTCCCACAACATGCAGAACCAATGTGGTTTACAAAATACCATGCAATGACTGCCCGCAAACGTTACATCGGACAGACAGGAAGGAAATTGGCCATCAGGATACATGAACATCAACCAGCAGCAAAACGGCACAATGAACTCTCCTTGATATCAGTACACGCAGACAATGAAGGCCATCAATTTAACTGGGACAAAGTAACCATGGTAGCCCAAGCCAAACATAGACATGCACATGAATTCCTAGAGGCACAGTTCTCCACCCATACTTCAGCAACCATGTAGAATTGGACCCCATGTACCAACCCATACAGACCAAAACCGGAAAGGACAGTACTCACCATAACGGACGAGAACGTATGAAATCCAAGTGGTGTAGAATAACATCATTTCATCAGAGGCTCCACTGTTGATGTTACCTAGCATGGTGATGAAACGTCAACAAAAACAAGCCACCTCGGCGAGCAAGTCAACAACTTCATTCCTTAATAATTTGACATGATCATTGCATTAACTTGTGCAAAAGTTGGGCTATCTGCCTGCGGTCAACCAGCGACATTTGGGCATTCTTGATCAGGCATGATCCCATGGTACTTCCATCATTCCATTCAGTAGACAACCTTTATGAATAGACACTTGTATTGTGTGATGTCATTAACTCCCTGGCATTGATAAATGCCTGAAATATTCATAAATCGGTCTCTTTTAGATGAAATGTTGTAGTAGGTGATTTTAATTTCCCCCATTATTGAGTGGGACTCCCTTAGTGCCAGGAGTTTGGATAGGTCGAATTTATTAGGTGCATCCACAAAGTTTTCTTGAAATAATATATTGGTAGTCCATCTAGGGAAAAGGCCGCACTAGACCCTGAGTTGGGGAATGAGCTTAGCCATGTTATCAAAGTTCAGCGGGGGCACCATTTTGTGAACAATCATCATAATCCCATAAGTTTTAAGATAGTTGTTATCCTTAAGGATAAGACTGGTCATCAAGTGAAAGTGATAAATTGGGGGAAAAATAATTACAACACTATTAGACAGGAACTCAAAAAATTAGATTTGGGGTGTGGATAAATCCACATCAGGCATGTGGGAATCTTTTAAAGGCTAGTTGATCAGATATCAGGAACCGGCATGTTCCTGTGAGGATAAAAGATAAGGATGGCGAGATTTGGGAATCCTGGATGACAAGAGATGTTGAAGTTTAATCAAAAAAAAGAAAGGAAGCATATTATAAGGTTTAGGCAACTGAAACTAGAAAATGCCCTTGAGGAATATAAAAGGAGCAGAAAAGAACATAAAACAGGGAAGTAGGGACCATGAAATAATTCTTGGCAAGTAGAATTAGAGAATGCCGAGGCATTTTATATATACATTTAGGAGCAAGAGGGTAGCTAAGGAAAGAGTAGTCCAACCAAGGAGAAAGGAAGGAATTTATACATGGAGCCAGATGAGGTCCTTAATGAGTACTTTGCATCAATATTCACCAAGGAGAAGAACATGGATAATGGTAAAATTAGGGAGAGCTGTGCTGAAATTCTAAGGCATGTCATTGTTTAAAAAGTAGTGGATGTTGAATGCCTTGAAAAGCATTGCAATAGATAAAACTCCATGTCCTGATGGGATCTATCCCAGGATACTGAAGAAGTCAAGGGAGGAGATTGCTGGGGCCTTGCCAGAGATCTTTGCATTCTATTTAGCCGTATAGGAGGGTCCCAGGAGACCAGAGAATGGGTAATATCGTTCCTTTGTTTAAGGTGGGCAACAGGGATAATTGCAGGAAACAATAGGCTGGTGAGTTTGGAAATTTTTGGAGAAGATTCTTAGGGAAGAATTGACCTATTAGGCATAGCATGGCTTTATTGAAGAACAGTCTTATCTCACACAATTGATTTGAGTTTTCTGGGGAAGTGACAAAGATGGTTGATGAGGGTATGGCAGCAGATATTATCTAAATGGACTTTATTGAAGCATTTGACACTGGCAGACTGGTCCAGATGATTGTCACATAGGATCCATGGTGAGTTGATAAGTTGGATTGAAATTTGCTCGGTCACAGAAGACAGAGGGTAGTTGTGGAGGGGTGATTTTCTGACTAGAGGTCTGTGACCAGTGGTGTTTCCGCAAGGATCAATGCTGGGATCTCTGTTGTTTGTAATGTGTATAAATGACTTGGATGAAAATGTAAGTGGTCTGAATTATAAGTTTGCAGATGAAGTGGAAATTGATGGAATTATGGATAGTGAGGAAGGCTGTCAAAGGATAGAGATCAGTTGGAAAGTTGGGTAAAGAACTAGCAGATGGAGTTTAATCCAGGCAACTGTGAGGTGATGCATTTTGGGAGGTTAAATGCAAGAGCAAAATATACAGGAGCATTGATATACGGAGGAATCTTGGGGTACATGTCTATAGCTCCCTGAAAGTGGCAGCACTAGTGGACAAGGAGGTGAAGAAGGTATCCCTTGCCTTCATTGGTGGGGGCAATGAGTATAAAAAGTCATGTTGCAGTAGTATAAAGCTTAAGTCAGGCTATATGATCACAATGTTTAAGAGGCATTTAGGCAGACACATGAGCAGGCAGAGAATAGAGGGACATGGACCATGTACAGGCAGATGGGATTAGTTTAGAATGGCATCATGGTCAGCACTGACATGGTTGGCTGAAAGGCCTGCTCCTATGCTGTACTGTTCTATTTTCACGGCCCAATCTGCCTTGTCAGATGGACATCAAAGGTTTAATGTCACTATTTGGTGAAGAGCAGGGAAATTCTTCTGATAGCCTGACCAACATTTATTCCTCAACTAACATCACTAATCGAATGATCTATTCATGATCTCTACTGTTTTTTGGAGCTTGCTGTTTATAAATTGACTGTCATATTGTTATTTTACGATACTGTAGTGACTTCATTTAAAGTATTTTAGGTTGTTCTGTGGTCTGGAAAGGTGCTGTATAAATTAAAATCTTTTTAACTTGCCACATGTGTAAATGTTGATCAGTGCAAACCATTGACAATAAATAGTAGCCAAACCTGGAGCTTGAAATCCTTGTTGTGAGGTTTTGAAATTTGTAATATGTTGATTTTCACTTCTGCCTTTTTTTAATTCGAACTACAAAGCTCATGCAGATAGGAATCGAGATGAAAGATGCAAGAGTGAACTCCATAGATGCTCTGTTGTATAATTCATGCTGAACCATAGTTAGGAAGGATACATGAATTGATTTTGAGCACCACTGTGACTTGATTCAGTTATAAATTATCACTGAGATTTAAACTTTGGAAAGGACAGAGTCAGAAAAGATTACACCCCCACCCCCCACCAACTCCCAACATGCTATTGACTCTCTGTAGTGTCCATTCAGTGCATTCACCTCCTCTGCACAAAGCAGTTACATCTAGGCTTTATGCTGTTCTTCTTGCTTTGCATCTATCTCCTGTTTATAGAATGAGCAGAGTTCAGTTTATCCATTCTCTTGAGGACCCACACTATGTGACTAGTCTCTTCATTATACGGTCTCATCGTATAAAGCCATCTCAAACTCAATATTCTCTCCTAACTCTACTTAAACTGGATACAAATTTACTTTGCTATGCCAGCACCATCTCTAGGGCGGTGCTTCCCAAGCACTGAACTGAAATTATGGAGTTGTGATCTTTGAGACCACCGTTAGTGTTGCGGAGCTCTGACCAGACGTTACAACTCTACTCCGACACTAGCAGTAGTCTGAGGGGTGCTAACAATATCCAGGTCTTGAAATGGGGTCATAGAGGGAAAACGTTTGGAAGTTGGGGTTAGAATTATAGATTGTAATTTGTATATAATGTCAATACCTTGCATTGGTATAGCCCATTTAACAAAGGAAAATATTCTAGAGTGCTTCACATGAACAACATCAAACAAATTGAGACTGATCCAGATAATGATATATTCAACCAATTGACTCAAACCTTTCTTTAAAAAAAGGCTTGGTGTTCACAAATTGGCTGCGGTCTTTCCTACTTTACGACATTGACTACGCTTCAGAAATATTTTGTTGACTGTAAAGCACTTTGGGGTTTCCCAAGATTATGAAAAGCGTTATACAAATGCAAGTTTTTCTATTTTTTTGTGTATGTATAATTGTGCCAGGTCCATTATCATCTCTCGGGATTTGTGCTTCATCCCTCTGGTTACATACCTTAGGTCCCAATATCTTCCCGTTCTTCCACACTGCATTTTTTTTTTGTGAGCAATCATTAACTTGATTTAAATTCTTAAATTCTTCGTGCATTAATGATCCAGAATGTAAACCATGAACTAAAATATTTAGCTTTCTGTTTTCCTTTGGAAGTATAGTGGCTAATTTTTGTTCATTGATAGAGTTCTTGGAGGTCCATGAATTTCCTGAGCACATCAAGCATCTAGTCCAGAAGGAGAAAGAAACAGAAGAACAAGAAAAAAGGCAGCGGGAAATTGAACGTAACACTTGCAAGGTATGATACGTAGTTGGGTTCAAATATAACCCCTCCTTTGGTTCGTATGATAAAACTGACATGTTTTGTGGTATCATGTGCTAAATCACTGAATTACTTCTTAGTTACACTATGTCGTGTTTTAGGTATAATTGTTGATTTGACGTGTGGTTTGAGTTGTCATGTCTTCAAAGTTAAGTACAGCAACAACTACATAAATTTAGAAACCGCCTTTAATGTGGAAATGCATCCCAATGCACTGGACTGGAGCTTTTATCAAATTAAACACTTTGCCTCATAGTGTGATAGTAGAGCAGGTTACTAAAAACTTGGTCAAACAGGCAGGGCTTTAAACGGTATTTTAAAGGTGACAGCCAGGTTTAGGTTGGGTCTTGCGAAATGAACGCATGATGACCAATGATGGAACAATTAAAATTGGGAATATGCAAGTAAACCAGAATTAGAACAGTGCAGCAGAGGTTTGTAGAGATGGGTGAGATTACAGATGCCTGCTCACTGATGTCAGCACAAGCTTGAAAAACACATCACTCCATGACTGTTGTCTGCTTTAGCTTCTGATTCTCAATTAAGTCAACCCTCTTTCATCAGATTAGATCTAAACTCAGCAGTGTTGTAACATGCAGTCATGAATGGTGATGGACAACTAAGCTGAGGAGGTGGCTGCAAAAACACATTGTCAACGATGGGGCAACTGAACACCTCAGTATTAAAGAAAAAACGTGAGCATTTACAAACCTCTTCAGTCAGAAGTCCAGAGTGATGGTCTATCTGTGCCATCTCCACAAGTCCCCAGACAAATGCTCTGTCTTTTCTCTTACAGTTGCGCGGGATCAGGGATGACTCCCTTATGCTCTGAAGTGACTAAAATAGTCCAATGTTGGGACTGCACACTCAGCCACAGTTTGGCAGGTGGTGTTTGATGGGTGGGTGGGTGGGATGCTCACATTTTCACATTTTGCTTCCCCTGTTTGTCAGAGATGCTGTAAATAGTTGGCACCTTCCGATTCTTCTTTGTTTTGGTGGTCCTGAGCAAGAGATTCCCATGAATTGGTAGGAATGCTGATTTTTTGTTTCAGGGAGGCCAACTCGATCCACTTGCACAATATGAAGAAATGCCTGAGGGCAATAGACAGCAAAGCTTATGATCTCCAACAATATCTTGGCTGTAACAGCTCAGCTGGCTGGTTTGTGATATAGAGTAACACCACCTACAGAGTTAATTTCCCACACCGGCTAAGGTTACCATGAAGCACTCTCCTCCTCAGCCTCGCCTCTTACTTGAGGCATACAACCTTCGAGTTTAAACCACCAATCATCTCTTTTTAATGAGAGAGGAACACAATGTTCCAGTAGGGCCGTCGTGGTTTTACCTTTCAATACTGAAGATCTGTCCTCCAGAAATGGCCACACTTAGTAAATTGTTCAGGTATAATTGCAACCCTGGCATTTACCCACCAACGTGGAAAATTGGTCAGTATATCCTGTCTAGAAAAAGCCAAAGATATCCAATCTAGCCAGTTAAGACCTCAACAATTTATTACCAATCATCAGCAAAGTGACTGAAGGTGTCATTTATAGTGCTATCAAGGACTATTTTTCTTTGTTTGTTCAAAGGATGTGGGCATCACTGGCTAGGCCAGCATTTATTGTCCATCCCTAATTGCCCTGGAGAAGGTAACGTTGAGCTGCCAACTTTAATTGCTGCATTCCATTGGGATGTACCTCCACCCACAACGATGTTAAGAAGCGAGTTCTCGGATTTTGACACAGTGACACTGGCAGAACAGTGATATAGTTCCAAGTCAGATACTTGTGTGACTTGGAAGAAAACTTGCGGGTGCTGGTGTTCCCATGAACAGACTGCCTGTGTCCTTCTAGATCTTAGACTTGGAGGTTGTTGTCAAAGTAACATGTTAGTGCATGGCACTTTATACATGATACACATTGATGCCACTATATGTTGATGGTGAAGGGAGTGAATGTTAAAGGTGGTGTTTGGGGTGCCAGCTAAGTATTTGTTCTGGATGGTGTACAACTCTGACAAAGAAGGACATCAGTTTAACTGGGACAACGTACCAGTACTAGGACAAGCAAAACAAAGACAAGCACAAGAATTACTGGAAGCCTGGTTTTCAACCACTGGTACCATAAACAAACATGTTGAAATAAACCCATACCACTACAGAGCAAAACTGGGAACAGAACTACCCCCATAACATACTGAACCATATAAATTCAGAACGGAACAGAACAACAACGCTTCAAAGGAGGCTAGACAGCACTGAAGATGTCACCTAGAAGGGGGACAAAATGTTTGCACGTGAACCAACCAACAACTCCAGTGTACAACTACTTGTGTTGTTGGTGTTGTACCAGTCTAAGACTTGTAGAGTATTCCATCACACTCCTGACTGGTGCCTTGTAGGTAGTGGACAGACACTGGGGAGATGGGAAGGAAATTAGGCATTCCTACCCTCTAACTTAGTCTTGTAGCTAAAATATTTGTATGGCTTTATCCAGTTCAGTTTTTGAACAGTAGTAATCTCCAGAATGTTGATTGTGGAAGATTCAGTGATAATAATACCATTGAAAGTTTAGGGCTGATTATAATCTCCCTTATTGGAAATTGAGTTGTTGCCTGATGCTTGTGTGGTGGGTGAATATTTCCTGTCATTTAGTAATTTAAGCCTGAATGTTGTCCATCTGCAGCAGGACCTTGACATGTACTGCTTCTTTGAACTTATTACGGAGAGAAAGTCATTGATGAAGCATCTGAAGCTGGTTAGGTTGAAGATTACCCTGAGGAACTCCTGCAGAGATGCCCTTGAACTGAGATAACTGACCTCTAACAGCCACAACTATCTTCCTTTGTTTTAGGTAGATCTCCAACCAGCACAGAGCTTTCATCCTGATTCCTACTGACTCCAGTTTTGCTAGGCACCTTGATGCTGTGATCAGTTAGCTGCTCCCTTGATGTCAAGGACACTTACCGTGACCTCACCTCTGGAGTTCAGCTGATTTGTCCATTTTTGTACCAAGGCTGTGGGGAGGAGAGGACTGTGTGGCTCTGGCGGAATCCAAAGTGCGTGTCAGTCCACAGATTATACCTTTGTAAGTGCTGCTTGATAGCACTTTGGACAACTTCTTCCATCATTTCACTGATGATCAAGAGTAGACTTAGGGGGTGGTAATTGGGACTGTTGGATTTGACATACCTGCTCAATTTTCCACGAGGTTGGGTCGTTGTCAGTATTGCAACTGTATAGAATAGCTTGGCTAGGTGCGCAGCTAGTTCTGGAGCACAAGTCTTCACAAATGTTAGTGTTGTCAAGGCCCATTGCCTTTTCAGTGTTCAGTGATATTAGTTGTTTCTTGATAACACATTAGAATGACCTTAAAATGTTGGCTATTTCGCACATTATACAATTTGCAAGTGGAGATCTTCAAAACTGTCTTTCTATCACAGATCAAGCTGTTCTGCATGCATCCTGTGCGGCAGGTAATGATGGAAAACAAACTGGAGGTCCATAAGGACAAAACATTGCAAGAAGCTGTGGAGATAGCATACAAGGTATGTGGATTTGAATGAGTATTTCTAGATGACTAGATAGGATTAGCTGGATAAGACTAAAAAGGGGGAAAATATTTCCTCTGATATGTAGTTCAATCACTAGAGATTATGGATCCAAAAGATTGGGAAGTGAGATGAGGCCAAATTGTTCGACTTGGGTGTCAGAATCTGGAATGCTTGACCTGAAATATGCTGGAAATTGATTCCAATAAATAATTTTAAAGGGATTTGGTACGGGCTGTTAAGGATGAAGAAGTTAAAGGCTTGCTCATGTAAAGAAAAAGGGTGTGGGACTATATCCTACTGCACTCACAAAGAGCCAGCACAGACATGACGGGGTAGCTGGCCACCTTTTGAGTCTACTTATTAAGGCTTGTTATAGTTTCTTGTAATCCTTTTCCAACAGATAACGATAGTAACATTAGCATTAATTATGCATGAATAGTTAGTAACAGCTTCTGTTTCTGTGTCCTCTATTGGAAGCTGATGGATTTAGAAGATGCAGTTCCAATTGACTGCTGTCGTTTGGTCAAGTATGACGAGTTCCATGATTACTTGGAGCGTTCTTATGAGGGAGAGGAGGATACCCCAGTGGGGCTACTTCTGGGTGGAGTGAAGTCATCATATATGTTTGATTTGCTCCTGGAAACAAGACAACCTAATCAAACATTTCAGCCTTACAAATCTGGCGGTAAGTTACTTTCATGAGTGGCAGGAAGAGAATCTAATTTTAATTAGAAGAAAATGTTGATAATGTATTTGGAGCCTGTGACTTCTTAGTTAAAATACTATTTTATGGTGCCACCAACAAATCAGTCTGACTACCCTCTGACATAGCAGCACTTCCTCAGTGCTGACCCTCTGGCAGTGCAATGTTCCCTCTGTGTTGCCACTACAATGGTCCAGCTCTACCTCACTGCTGCCTCTCTGACAGCCAATGCTCCCTTGGTGCTGCCATCTTGCCAGTATGGGATTCCCCTGGTGTTGCACCTCTGTCAGTGCAGCACTGTCCAATCAATCCCTCTCTGACAAGGCTGTGCTCTCTGGGCAGTACTGTAACTGTGCAATACTCTCCTGACACTACACCGTCTGTCAGCACAGTGCTATCTAGGCGTTGCACCCCTGCCTGCTATCCAGATGCTGCTCGTCCAACAGTGTAGAGCTGCCTGGGCACTGCCTCTCTGCCCCATGAACAAGGCACTATCCTCTACCCCAAGACTGGCCTTTTGGTTTGGATCATATGCTTGAGCCTGTAGTGCATCCAAAGCCACCTGATAAGTTTTGACGAATAAGTGAAGTCAGGACCATGACTCAGTACCCAGGCCGCAAAACAGTGTGATCGGTGTCAGAAGAAAGATGTTATTGTTGTTTTGTCCATCTCATTGATCCGTATTTTTTGTTTTAGAAGTGATGGTGAAAGTGCACGTGGTCGACCTAAAATTGGGAACTCTGCTTCCACCCATCAGCATCCGTGCTTATCTTAATCAAACAGTCACAGAGTTCAAGCAGCTCATTTCCCAGGTAGGAACACAAGCAGTGTTGTTTCATGTGCTGACTCTGTCACAACTGAAAGATGAAGAAGCAAAACTCTTCAAGTGAAGGCAAAAGTATGAATGTTGTAATTGGAAGTTGCTGGCCATTGGTTTGAATATACTGAGCTGCTCAGTAGAGAAACAAGAACCTGGTAAATGGTGTACGTTGTGGTAAAGCAAATCAAAAGAATGTGAAAATAGGGTAATATGAAAAAAACAGATTCATCTCAGTGAAAAGGCCAAACAAAAATTGCAGGCGTAGAAACTCTGAAAAGGAAGGCAGAATGCCTTCATTGCTCCCTAAAAGTGCAAAAACACAAGTCAGCACAGCAATTTTCTGGCCATTTAATCCATTAATGTATTACTTTGGAATTTTATCCTATATGTGGTGCTTGAACACTAGTGTGTGGATTTCTATTTTCATTTTTAGTGCTGACCAATATGGGAGCTGAAAAGGTTGCCCGCCTTTTTCATTTCACCTTTCCCGGAGCTCATTGAGAGTGGACTGTAAACAGAATCGACTCAAATCCAGAGCCAAGGCTGTGGGCATTAACTGTACTATAGTTGCGAACAAAAGTGCATTTTTCACTTTTTAAGTGACTGTTTACATTTTATTTGAAAAGATTAGTCCTTAAGTCAGTACTGAGGATTGAGAGAAATGGTTGAAATTGTAAGTACTTCTAAACAGGAGCCAACATATTATACATTGCTTTGTCTGTATGATTGAATTTATCTAACTGGAACACAGTGCCTGGTTTTAGTAAGTTAAAGGAAGATGATGGATATCTTTCAGTTTTGAAATGTCATAGAAAAGCCTTCGAAACTCAAACTGCCATTGCCTTTCTGAAAATAAAATATAATGACATACCTTTTCAGCAGTGTCATATCTGACCGCACCCATAGTGTCTCTCTCTCTCTCGTGCCCCGTCTCTCCCTCCCTCCCCCCCCCCCCCCCCCCCCCCCCCCCCCCCCCC